GAGCCTCGTGCGTTCATGGTGAGTGGGGCCCACGCCCTTCACCGCCGGGGACCGTGAGCTGGGGGCGGGTGTGTCACCTACGTGTGTGTGTGCATCTTTGTGCGCGTGTGGATATGTGTGTGTGCACACGTATGTGCGCGCGCCCGTGTGCAGTCTGTGACGCGCTCTCGTAGGAAATAACGCTGGCATTGCGGACGTGGTAGTGCGTGCGCCCTCCCCGCACTCCTCCTGTGTTGTGTGGCCATCCTCGCCAGAGTCCAGTGCCGATGGCCCCGCCGAGAGAGGCTGGGAGCCAGTGCGGGACCTTCCGCCCCGTTCTGACCCCAGATGCAGATGCGCCCGGTGTACCCCACCTTCAGGTGACATGGCCTGTGTGCCCCGGGTCCCCGCAGGTGGGCCGGCCGTCTATCTGCAAGAGCGGAGACACTTGAAAGCCCTGTCCTGGTGCCTGCCCTCTCTGACTGTCAGGGAAGGCCTGCTGAGCCAGCTGCTGATCTCCTTTCTGAGAGCCCCCCACCCCCACCCCCACCCCAGAGAGCCCTGCCACCTGGCCCCCTCCTGCTGCTGTGATCTGCCCACACTCCTGGGCCACCTGCCCTACCCTACCTCGGGAACAGCCCAGGAAACAGGCAGGGCCGCCATGAGCCCAAGGTCACAGGATTGGGGGGGAGGGCAGCGTCAGGTATCCTGTTGGTGCCTCCACTGCATCACCACCCAGAAGCCCCTTCTGTCCCCCACTCATCCCCCCCTTGTGTCCTGCTCACATCCTCCATGTCCCCCCAACACCATCCCTTTGATCTCACGCCCCCACGTACCCTGTTCATCACCTTTCTCCTCATCCCGTCATCCCACACATCTCCCTACACGTCCCATCTTGTCTTAGCCCCTTACATAGCCTCCCCTTGTCTCACCCCCTCACATTGCCCTCATGTCCCCCCTTTCTTGTTCCCCCTCACGTCTCTCTCATCTGTCCCCATCCTTCTCGTTCCCCTTCCCATCTCCCCCTTTGTCCCCCTCTTTTCTCGTTCCCCCTCACATCTCCCCCACCTGTCCCCCTCTTTTTTGTTCCTCCTCACGTATCTCCATCTGTCCCCCTCTTTTTCATTCCCCCTCACATCTCCCCCACCCGTCCACTGTCTTTCTCATTCCCCCTCACATCGTCCCTGTGGGCCTGTGCTGAGGTGGGTGCTCTGAGACCATGTGGGATGAACTGTCTGGAACGTTTTTCACCCAGAGAAACGGTCGCTTCTGAAGCCCAATTGGAGTTTGCACCGGTGACAGCTCCCCTCCTAGCTGAAATCCATGCTCTGAGGGCTGGTGGCAGCTTCCCGGCCTTTGACCAGCATTGCCTTCCTGTCATTTGCAAGCTTGGATCATTTCTTCTCCTTCCATGCCCTATTCTGACCTCTGACCTCCCTAAATTGGGGAGGGGGGGGCATGGCAGCCTACTTTTCTGGCCATGACCTCTCACATTCATAAATGGTGGGAGGCCGACCGGAAACTGCAGATAGACGGTTCCTGGTGAGGCTCTGTGCACACGGCACATATGTGACCAGGTATACGACACATGTGACCAGGTATACTACAGAACCAATCTATGTGTTCTGGGTACACTGTCCTGTCTCTTGGCTCATTAAAAAATGGCTGACGTGACCGATGATGATGTTGGTGGCCCAGGAACGCTGAGGGGCCCCCGGTGTCAGCTCCTTACGAAGTGCCGGGGTCTCAGTGTGTACCCCACGCCCTCATCCTTACAGCTGAAGAGACTATTGTGCCCAGGGACAGAGGAGGCCTCACGCCTAGCTGTGTACATCATGTGCTGCTCTGGTACTGGGATGCATGGCTGAGTGGGTGGTCCATGCTGACGCCCCTCCGTAGTTTCCCCCGGCTGGGAGCAGCACCAGCGTCCTCTGCATGCTGGACCATGTTGAGGGCTCACGACTTGGGAAAAGCTCCCAGGCTGGCTCCATTGTTCTGTTCACTAGACAGTCCTGCATGTGACAAGACACACGTAGTTCTTTCTGCTGTGGTTGGATGCTGTGCGTAGCGTGAATGCACATGATGTCATTGTTCACACATGTGCTGCTGAGGGCGTGACCTGGGTCTGTAGGGGGGCTGACACCTCTGGGCCCCTAATTCCATCTGGGACCCGGGGTTAGGCTAGACTGACTAATGCAGGTTAGTGTGGTTGTGGTCAGCCCCAGCTCATGACACACACACACACACATACACACCTGGTCCTGCGCCGTCCGCATGGGCAGTTGATCCACACTCCAGGATAGCTAACCATTGGCCGTGTAGCTCAGGAGGACAGTGTGCCGGAGACTCCTTGTCAGCACATAGTTTTGGGCGGGCTTTCGTTGTGGGTGTTGGTCCCTGTGAATTTAGGGGCTGCTTTCTCAGGACAATGGGACAATTTGACCATTAGAATGGACCAGTTTGAAGCCACTCAGCAGCACTGACTCACAAGACCTGGTGTGTCTGATGTCCAGATGGGGCTCATGTCATCTGGGAAACTGCGTTTGCGCCCCTCTTGTTGAGAGGTCTGTGGGTCTTTCTGGCTGTGAAGTAACTTAACTCACAGCTCCCTTCTAGGCGGCCAATGTCAGCAACACTCACTTGGTGGCCCTGACTCCTCACCGCCTCCCCTGTTGCTGCTGTGAAGTCTGTGTGCTGGCTTCTGTCTCCGGTTCACTCCGCTGTGCACCTTGTTGTCTTCCTCCCGGGAGGTGCTAAGAGTGAATTGGATTCTCTGGAGGACTAGGGTCCACACGTAACAGAGCTGACCACCCTGGCGCCAGCCCTCTTGGAGCTCTCAAAACCAGTGGGGTCTGCTGACTCAGCTACATGGGGCTGCGCCAGCGTTAGCGTCCTCTGTTGGGATGGGTGTGAGGAGTTGGAGCTATTGTAGTCATCTTTATGTAACCGATGTCGCACCTGTTCCTTGTTTCAAAAAGTTCTGAAGAAATAGCAAAACAAATGTCACAAACCTGTTGCCATGCAACTAATACTATCTTATAGTGAGTGTAGGCCATGGTGGGGCTGTCCCATAGTGAGTGTAGGCCATGGTGGGGCTGTCCCATAGTGAGTGTAGGCCATGGTGGGGCTGTC